TCACAGCTGTTTACACTGTTCAGCATGGTGAAGGAAAGGTGGGCTGGGGAGATGCAAATTGATCCTATCTGTCCCCAGGCCCATCTGCCTTGCACCCACCACTGGAGGCACTAGACAGAGTGGGTGGGCAGGTGGGTGGGGCCTCCATGAAGAACAGCCTAGGACCCCTTTAAGCTGGGCCAGGCAGAAGGGATGGGTCTGTGGGAGGGCAGGGAGCAGTGTTCGAGAGCAGGATGGGTAGGTGGGGTCAGGGTCAGGGCTAGGGCCAGGACCATGGAACAGTGACAGTGAAGGGCTGGGGCCCAGGTCAGAGCCACATCTGCTCCCTGCATGTTCCTGTGATGGGCGCCAGTTCCACGGGCAAGGAAAGGGAAGAGACCAGGTGCAGCAGCAGTGATACTAGCAACGACAGTTGGAATGGGAGGATGAAAGTTACTGCTCCTCCTGGCCCTGTGGACTACAGCTGCTAGCATGCCCAAGAGCTGTGCATAGGCACAGGGCAAGCTGTGGTTCATGCCAGGTGGCACCTCCATGTCTGGGGGTAGTGGGACAGGCCACACGCGACAGCCTGGGCTGTCCCCTGCCCATGGGCCCAGTGGGGCTGAGGGACCCACTAATGGCTTGATAAAAATCACTTGGGTAGACCAGATTCAGCCCACAGGCCATAATTTGCCCACCCCTGCTTTAACATGTAGCCAGTTTACTATTTATGGTGTGATTAACACATTAATCTCATCTTAAATGTAACATGTGCCAGAATTCTTAGAGAAAAGAGGACTGTAAATACTTGCTTACTGCTTCACAATAAAAGCTACTGTTTAGTTCTTCTCATTCACTCCTGGCCCTCTTTATTCAACCCAATAAACAATGTAACTGGAATGTTGCGAGAGGTGTGGGGGATAAAGATTCAGGTCAAATATTGCAATCTTATCCCATGGCTATTCTGGAGGCATCCCTAGGTCTAGGTGCTCACCTCTAGGAGACTGAGGTAAGGGAAGTGCTTACCTAGCACTAAAGAGGCAGGTATCTCTACCCTAGCACACCAGGTTAGGTAGTTCATTTCTGGCATGTTTCAGCAGCTCCCAGCTGTTTACCAAGAATCCCTTCCTTTCAGCCCCTGGAAAATGCACAGGGCAAGTTATATGCTTAGTTCAGAGCTAAGGATGGCAGAGGATGGAAGTATGCCTTGGGGTTCACCATTGCAACACCGAGCAGAGCAACACCCAAGTACCTTTGAGGCTCTCAGCCTTAGCAACTACCATTTCCTAGTCCTGGAATTCTTCTTGTACTACTCTAATCTCATCCCCAGCAAGAGACAACAAGGAGGCCACAAGCATGTTGATTTGTTCATCCTGGCTAGACATTCAAAATGCCTGAGCCTGAATTGATTCAGTCTTTGCAGGTTAGTCTAACCTGGCTAGTCTAAATCAGTTTTGTAACCAGACAGACATCCCAGAAATACAGTCACATGCCTGCAGTGGCTCAGGCTAGATGCCAGGGGGTACTAAAGCAGCCCTCTCTTCCTTCAACAGCATGGAGCTGAGGGGGGCGTGGCCAGGCAGGAGCTTTGATTAGCCCAGCAGGGAACTGATAACACAATTAAGAAAACAGAGGGACATTACCAGCTACTTGTTGATTCTGCCTGTTCATTCTACCTGTTGAATCAGCAGGTAGAATCTGAATTCAACAGGTAGAAAGAACAGGCAGAATCAACACGGACTGTAGCCAGCATGTGGTCTGCTAGCTAATACACAGACACCTTTTCAGCAAGGCAGAGGGGAGTGGGGAATTCCTGCTAAGCAGGGAGTAGTAAGGGGAAGGCAGGGGAGCTGCAGCCAGGGAGCAGAGGAGGGGGACAGCCTTGCTGTGGAGCATAGAGCCCCACCCAGCTCAGAGAGCATGCCAAGATGCTGGGGGTATCCGGTTTATCTTAAAACAGCAAGGGGTGTGGGAAAGACGTTGCATACACTGGTTTGAGCCAAATCAGTTAAGTCTGATACTACATTCAACCAAGTTTATCCCAAATCGGTTTCAGCCATTCTCAAACTGGTTTATCTGTACTGAACATCTGTTCTGTTACAGGTTTAAACCAGTTTCTGATCACTTAAACTAGTTTATGTGTAATGTCTGTCCCTAGCCCCTTTGAAGAGGATTTTTCTTTCAATCCATTTCCAAGCAGACAGAAATAGATGGGATTAATGCAATACCCTTGGGGGGGTACTAGATAGTTACCCCAACCATAACAAGAGCTTATCCGCACCGATGTCCTCATACCAGCACATGCTGTCAGAGTAGATGGTCTGCACTGACACCTAAGGAAACACCAACAAAGCAAGCTCTGCTAGAGTACCTGTACTGATGAAAGAACAATTCTGCATCAAGGGGCTATAGGAATCTATCCCATCCCATGCTGTTCCCTCATCAAAGGGTCCTATGCTATTTTACAGCTACAATCTAGTGGCAAACTCAACAGAACCATTCTATGCTGCCCCCAGATAAGGGTTATGAATGGCTCCCCAGAAAATGTTGAACCCAAGGTCGTCCCCTTTACAGGTATCCCCTTTACATGCATTCCACAGACAAGTCCTAAGCCTGCCAATGCTTTTACATGCTTAATTTTTTACATGTGAGGAGTCCCACTGAAGCCAACTGTCCTTTATCATCTCACACCATTTAATATTTATTTTAATGAATGCCCTACCATTTGTCTCCCAAGTGACTCTCAACAGTGTCCTGGAGATTTATATCTAATTCCTGGAGACTCCAGGGCAGTCCTGGAGGGTTGGCAACCCTACAAGGACCCATCACATGGACTTTACCTTCACTCTGCACAAGAGTTATACAGCTGTGCGTGCAAACGAAAGGAGAAACATGGTAGGTAGTTGGCATTAGGACTGACCTACACACAGACATTGCACCTGTTTCTCTATATGGTTCTAAAAATCAACTTAATTAAACTGGTACAAGCTATTTCTATCAGTTTAAAACTGCTCATAGACGATGAGCCAGTGCCTTGAAACTTACCCACCCCTCTGAAGATCA